ATCCCAGACCCTACTTCATTCATCCATCCTGAAATGAAGTCTTTGTTACTATTAGCCTAAACAGTTTTTTTTGACTATTACTTTGAAAGACATGTATGTATACAGTGTAATAATTGCCTGTAGCACTTAGTTTGGAGAGACAGAGTTTTGTCGTTATCAGTAATCTAAGAAAAATGTCTATACTTAAATGTATAGTGCTATTTGGTTTATCCATGTTTCACTGACAGGTCTAATACGTTTTCAAGTACTCATCTGTATAAAAGTAGACTTTTATGATGAAAAATGCTCACATGCAGTGCCAAGTGATTAACTTAGTGTTTAAAAATATTAAATTATAGCAGAAAAGATTAGGAATGGTGTCAGTGGTAATAGAAATAATTGAGAAAGTCATCTATAAATAATAGATACTACCAGACTATATACCAAAATAATGTCAATACTGTAGTTTTTCAAGATTTTAGAATTAATCTTAGTCCTTATAAATTTGTACTATTGGTAATTATTGAATAATTGGAGGCATTTGGGCAGTTTTGCTGGTTGTAAACTGTGAATATCTAATTGTAAAGTGAATTGTCATTTCTAATTGAAATTTTTTTTCAAGAACAGATTTCAGCTTCACGATACTAAGTAAATACTGATAAATAAGGAAATTAGAAATTAGTATTAATAATTAAATATGGTCTAAAATTTCTTATACATTTATTTCCTGTTTATGCCTAGGTAGATTTGAAGGGGGGATGTCTCCCTAATAATTTTTCTAATAAAGATTGGTAGCATGAGTACGTTCTCCGAGACAGCGACATTAAAAGAGGCCCTTCGGAGGGTACACACTCTTACACCAGTCACCCTGACAGGCGTACAGCTTCTTCCGAAACGGTAGCTTTAATAGCTTTCAGCTCTTTTATCCAGAGCTTGAGATAATTAAAGCTGAGTTTTTCAGGGCATATTACAGTAGTAAAGTGTTCAACAGTGAGGTGTCAGTGCTTACTTAGATTTGTCTACTGCTCTTTATAAATTTCTTTTTCATTCCATTCAGAGGATGCCTTTTATCCCCACATTAAAGCACAGATCATTGAGCAATAAAAACTAATCAAATTGTCATCCAAATTATAGCTGCAATTGTTTTTGCATGGTAAGAGTGAGGTGCTAATTTTGTGTGAGATCAGCTTTGTAAACTACCTTGGGAAAAAGTCCTTTGGAATTAAGGTTTTCCCCCTTTTGTTTTATGCTTCCAGTGTCTAAAATTCACAATCCATTAAACATGGGAAAAAAGAAAAGGTAGAACTGACAGAGTTTTATGAGAAGAACTGATGGAATAAAAGAACATTTCAGGTTTTCAAAAATGTACGTTGGGAAAGGTCTCCCTTGCCTCCCCATTCAGGAAATCCATTATCACCAGCTTAATTTCAAGAGTATCACTACAGTGAGAGTTTCATTATAAAAGCGTGCTAGTGAAATGAATAGCAGTGCTTATCAGACAATACTGAAATCTGTGAGAATCTTTCTAGGAACATTCTTTTTTTCTTTTAGTTCCAGGTTCCCAAAGTATTTTTCATTCATAATAGGTTTTTATGACTCACACAGAATGTGGATCCCCCCTTGAGTATTTTTATAATGTAGGTGGATAGCTATGCCACAACATGCATTAATTGCACATCTTGTTTGATTTTCTTTACAAAATATTTAATTTGAAAAATATAATTTATGCCAAAAAAGTATACCTTGTAATTTTGCCACTAAGTAGGTTGATTTAGCACAAAATACAAAGTCTTGGGGCGGGGCGGGGGGGGCGATAAAAATTTTTCATAGATGATAGTTGAAAAATGTTCCATTACTGGCCTGGCAGAAACCCTGAAGCTGCATTGTAAAACAAATGGTGTAAATTAGTTTTGAAAAGTGGTAAGGGATTGTGAAAAAAATCTCAGACTTAATGCTCCCTAGCCACATGATATCCTTCCTTTTTTATTTAGTAATAAGCTGCTACATATTTGGAGGTTCTGGTGTTTGTAGGTCACTGAACAGACATTGAAATCTGATTTATATTGTATAACTGTAACATAGAAAGAAAAAGTATTTATATATTTTCCGTAAGAATATTTCATTGAGTTGTGTATAATTTAAAGAAGGTTTTCCCCAAATGGTTTTGCTCACCTTGATTTTTTTTGTGTGTGGTTTTCTTGTTTTTGTATAATGTGTACAGTTTATGTCAAGGGCATTAAAAGCCTCCTGAAGCATAATCTTATCAAAGGGATACATTGTTAATAAAAAGTACTTAAAATTCTTAAAACTTGTGTTCTGTTTGAAATTTTAAAACAATCAATGTCCATTTGAATTATGTACCACAGAGGCTGATACATGTGACTCCCAGTAAAAATGATTTTTAGGTACCACAGATAAGAGTCTAGTTCAGTAATATGTTAGTGGCTCTTCCAGATGTTTTTAAAATATCCTTAAACATTCTTCATAATCTAATCAAACAGATAGCTTTACAGGTTTTATTTTTAACTTCAGATCATTATAAAGTGTTTGAAAAAAATGGATCTATCTTTAGACAGAATAGATCTGAATTTTTTGAGGAAATAATATACAATATAAGTGATAATGATATGATGATGATGTTTCTGTGGAAAGTATTTGATTTCTCAGGCAGAAGCTGTCCTGATCAGATAGGCTATCAGTTCAGCCACCTAGTGGCAAAAGAAAATACCACAAGGGAAATTACCAGGGCTGGAGAATAAAATTCAGTGTCAAAGCCAGGTCAAAGCTAGGTTATAGTTGACTAAATGTGGTAAAATGTATGTCTCACTTTCAGAAATAGATTTGTTTGGATAGATTGGTCTTTAGGCACAATTCTGTATATCATTTTCCCATTGCCTTCTGTATGTTTCTCAACAAAACATAGTTGGCCCCAAAATAAACTAAAAGCACACTTAATAATCAGCAGACAGCTGATCTTTGAAAAATGTGGACCTAAATTTCAGAAAGTTTGTTTCATTTGAAAAAACCTGACTCTTTGGTATATAAAAGTTCTCAAAAATAGAGAGTACTGTCTTAGTCCATTCAGGCTACTATAATAAAATACCCCAGACTGGGTAGCTTACAAACAACAGAAACCTATTTCTACAGTTCTGGAGGCCAGAAGTCTGAGGCCAGAGTGCTAGCACAGTTGGGAGAGGGCCCTCTCCTAGGTCTCAGAGTCCTCGTTGTGTCCTTACATGGCAGAAGGAATAAGACTTGCAGGGTCTCCCTCCTAAGAGCATTAATCCCAAGTACATGAGGGCTCCAGCCTCGTGACCTAATCACCTCCCAAAGGCCCCATCTCCTAATACTGTCATCTTTGGGGGTTAGGATTTCAACATATAAATTTTGAGGGGGACAATCATTGAGACCATAGCAACTACAAAAAAAAACCCAAATGTACTAAAACTTAGTTTCTTTAATGGCTTATTTCAGAGGATAAAGACAACTGCATTTGCTTGGTACTTTAAGTTGAATGTATTTAGTTACTGTGTTGTAAATCTTTTAACTGCTAATTCTAAAGGCTTTCTGTTGTATCTCTTGAAGGGTTTCTAAAGTTCTACTTAATGCAAAATGTTTAGTATGTTTTGTAGATTGTTTAAGATGAAAGCCAGTTTTTCCATGGCGATCTTAGAAGAAATACTAGATTTTGACTAATTCAACTTGATTTTCTCAATAAATACACCTTCTAGTGGAGAATCAGTTTCGCTAGAATCAGCGTTGAGTCAGGTAGGTGCTAGAATGGAAGCAAGCTCCTTTGGCAAGTGCATGGTTCTGCGGTGTGGCTACGTCCCTGCTCCCAGCCTGAGCCATCGTGGTACCCCGCATGCAGCGAAGGACCACTCTCCAGGTTGATGCGGTATTTATAGGTCATTAATGCCAGTCCTGCACACCATCAAAATGCCCTGATATTTTTAAAGAACTATTACTAATTTGGCTTTAGGGACTTTTTTTTTTTTTTTAAGTAGACTTCATGCCCAGCGTGGAGCCCAATGTGGGACTTAAACTCACCCTGAGATTGAGACCTGACCTAAAATCAAGAATTAGACATTTAAGTAACTGAGCCACCTAGGCACCCCTAGGTAATATTCTTTTTAAAGGTATATTATGGTCATATTAGGAAAACTAGAGCTTAGAGAAACAAATATTTGCAGGTAAAATCATATGATTTGCTTCCAAATAATATCAGGAGGGAGAGTGGAAAAGGGTATAGATGGGCTGAAACAGCCATGGGTTAGCAGCTGTTGGAGCTGATGATATACGTAACGGTTTGTTAAACTGTTATACTTTTGTATCATTTGAAATTTTCCAGGAGTATTTTCTTAATCCTAATAGTTCTGCTGACAATACAAATTTCAAAGTTTTTTTTTTTTTTTTAAAGATTTTATTTATTTGACAGAGAGTCACAGTAAGAGAGGGAACACAAGCAGGGGGAGTGGGAGAGGGAGAAGCAGGCTTCCCGCTGATGCAGGACTCGATCCCAGGACCCTGGGATCATGACCTGAGCTGAAGGCAGACGCTTAACAACTGTGCCACCCAGGCGCCCCACAAATTTCAAAGTTTATGAAGAACACTTCTTAAGGCAATGCTGTTAAGATGGCATATAGTATTGACAATTAAGGTTTTAAATATGAATGTATTTGATGTGATTGGCATGGGAGAGGGATGTTTATAGCCAAAACTGTAGTCATAGTGATATTGTAAGCATAAAGTTACGTAGCCCAGCATTTCCTGTTGGTATGTTGCTATATTTCAGAAAGACATCATTTGACTTAGGACAGTAAGTCTCAAAGTTGAGTGTGCATCCCAATGCCTGGGAGGGAGCTGATGAAATATATAGACTTCAGGCCTCATGTCATGGAAATTCTGATGAGGTGTGGAGCGGTACCCAGAAATTTACATTTTTAGTAAGCTCACAAGGTGATTTATTGGCTATACTCACTATTAGATTCTCATTTCATTAAGGTAGAGAAGACACAAAATGCAGTGGTGAAATATTTTAATTAGGCTTTTTGCAACAAAAATGACTTCCAAGGTTTCATGGGTTATTTTTAAAAGAAAAGCTATATGAAAGATACTATTTACAAATCAGTCTTCACAGCCATTGACATTTATGAGAAAGCAACAAAGAGGCTAAATGATAACAATACTGGCCCCCAAGGTCTTCTCAAAACTATCAGACTAATTGAGATACTTGTTTGTACTATGTTAGAAGTACATAACCAGTTTTTCCAGCAAAAGGTTTAGTTCTATGTAAGGAAAAAGTTGAAAAGCCTGAACAGAAGCCCTGGTTTGTGTTGGTATACCTAGGCCAATTGGCAGCCACCTACCTGGCTTGGAGATGTGGATCTTTTGGTCTCTTGGTTGTGTGGTGTTGATGACACAGTGCACTCTCTTTGGTACCAGAGACCTAGATGGTGTCATTGCCAGCACAGCACACAAGGAACTCCTGATCATACTTTCTTAGAAATGTGATAAATAAAGCATTGATAGGTAGAAGGAAGAGAAAGGAACGGGAATGTACTGAACACCTGTTAGGCATCAGGTGCATTTGTGTATATATATATATTTTTTAAAGATTTTATTTATTCATTTGAGATATAGCATGAGCAGTGGGAGAGGCAGAGGGAGAGGGAGAAGCAGACTCCCCGCTGAGCCAGGAGCCTGATGCGGGGCTCGATCCCAGGACCCTGGGATCATGACCTGAGCCGAAGGCAGACCCTTAACCATCTGAGCCACCCAGGCGCCCCTGCATTTGTATATATTGATTCAATGAGACAAAGCTGCTGCTGAGCGAATACAGAATTTCCCACTCTATAGCTTTTTACAATTATGTCTAAACCATGTCCAACAATGAAGTTTCCTTTTATTCATTGTTAGCATTATAGGAATATAAATGAGACAGGGTATTTTCTTGACTCAGACAATTGCGAAGACCAAAGGGTACTAAATGAAAACATGTCACTTATATATAGTAGTTCTTGAAAAAAAGAGGAACCACAAAATGTGAATGGAATTAATAATAACATTTTCTTTTTTCTATTCTGAGGTAGTTGTCAAAAATTATGGTCAAAGACTGATGTCCACCAGGTAGGAGTGCTGTTGTCTTGACGCTAAGTCAAGAGTTCCTCGGCAGTCCCACTCTTTAACTATAGTAAGCTAAATGGAAAGGCAGTTGTGGGGATCTTATTGATCATTCACATATTTTACCTATCAGATAAGGTCTGTGCACCCAGAAGAGTTCATTTTACTGCATCAACGAACTACAAATTGTTCTCTCTTCAAGGCAAGTCTAAAATCTGTTTTACTCTCAAACATTGTGTGACTTTTTCATTAAACACACCCAGAATAAATTAACATTGACAATTTATGGTCTAGTAACAAATCTTCTGTGGCCTTTACTAAAACCTTAAATCTAGTTCCTTTACCCTTAAGATAAGACATAGGGGTAAAACTTAATGGAAATATTTCCTTGCTAAAAACTGAACTTCTAGGACCACAGGCACCCTGTCCAGTACTGAGTGGGCAGGGTCTATCCCCATGTCAAGTGCCAGGTCTACTGTTCTAAAGGTGAGCCTGGAACAGACAGCAGCAAGGTAAGCCTATTCCCACGATCCTGCCATTTCTACGGCAAGCCTGCTCCAAGAAGGGATGTTAAGTTCCATAGCTTCTGACCTTTGAAACCAAGCCAGATTGTAGTGGTCTCGTGCGCCAATGGTGACCGCTCACTGGAATTACGGGCCGAGGCATCAGGTGATGGAATGGTGCCGGCGATGCTCCTTTTTTGCATCTATGTAGCATAAAGGCATAAACCGGGTATACTGATTAGTGGTAGTGTTCACCTTCATCTAAAAGGGTAACGGAAGAGAGGCTGCTACTCCCACTCGAGGGAGGAGAGGCCAGACCCAAGGGTATGGCCATTTGCATTTTATACTCCGAACACAGTGCTGGCTCTGGTGGATTTGTGGGGAGAATGAACTTGTCTCCAGACATGGCTGAAGCCAACTGGGACACGTAATTTAAATTAGTTTCTCCGGCTGGAATTTCTCCCAGGGAGTTCATGTAGTTTTTTTCTAGTGCCTTTAGTAAATTTTCAGGTGATGTCAACAGTCCCAGCTGACTTAGTGGAGCTACAGGGGCTACTGGGACATGGCCACAAGAAGCCGAGTCAGAAGCTGCCTGGTTATAGGTAAAGTTCTCAAAACAGATGCAGGGCCCAGGGCCGGAGTAGCTCTTCTCTGTTGGAAGGAGGTAAAGGTAGGTGGCCTTGGAAGACTCAGTTTCTGTGAGTGACTTCCTAGTGCCTTCCTGCTTGTTTAGAACTTCAATAGAGTCTGGAACACAGTCTTTGATACTCATTATTGTTAGGCGAGGATTCTCCTGGAACAAACAAAAAAAACATGTGAATATGAAGTGTGTGTGTATGTCAGAGTATATAAAGTATGTGAAGTGCACTCAAGGCTTCAGTTTTTTGTGTGTTTCATCCTAGTCACAAGTTAACTGGAGGTGATGTTGCAAACCAAAGGATTTCCCCCGATGGAAGAACTCTCAAGGCTCTATTCACCCATTTCATGGCTATGGGAGCCAAGGTGGCTGTTGCTTTGTTATATCTTCCTGAGGAGTTCTCGAAAAGTATGATTAGAGCCCCAACCCTGGATTAGTCTTTAATAGATATATGGCACACATACAATTTCCCAGCATTTACCTTGGATTTTATTAATGACAGAACACTACTCTTGTAAGGATCTGGAATGTCAGGATAACACTTCTCCTTCATCCTAGAAAACAGTGAAAATTGGACTGAATTTTGCAATACAGTGACTAAGAGAACTCTGGAGCCGGATTCCCGGGTTCTAAACCTTGCTCTGTCACTTACTAACTGTGTGACCTTGGGCAGGCTATGCTTCTATCTACTCGCTGATTCAGTGGAGATAATGACAGTGCCCAGGGTGTTGGTGTGAGGACTGAATGAGCTGTATGTAAACCACTTAGAATACTGCCAAGCACACAGTATGTGGACTACCAGTATTAGAGCTATGGTTATTGAACAGGTTTTGCAGTCTTTTTCAAATGGTTATTGCTTTCCTTATGTATTGACCTGGAGAGCAAAACTGTTTAAAAATTTTCATATTTTCATCTAAGTCTCTGTCCTTTGCCTTTTCAGCACCTTCTCTCATTATTCAATGTGATTTCTAGCTTCTTAAACTCCTTTCTAGATCTTTTTTTCTCTGACTTCTTGGATAAAAATCTTCCCCACACACTTACCACTGACTTTTCAAGTAGCATATGATCATGATGAGCAAAATGCAGAAAACCATAGGGAGTATGATACGTATCAGTATAGGGGCTGGAGAAGAAAACAAAGTGGTATTTTTAATGAGTACTTTTCCCTCTTCAAAGGCACAAAAGTAAGTTTAAGACTGAAATTAATTTTACAGAGTTGTTATTCTTCAAAAGTCTATTTATGCAATATTCAATCTGAATTCTGGCTGATGGGGTGGGGGGTCTACCAACCAACCAACACAGGGACCATCTGCTGTCAACACCTTATGACTTGGATTCGTTCCCTCTTTTTTTTTTTAAGATTTTTTAATTTATTCATTTGAGAGAGAGCAAGCAAGAGCATTAGTAGGAGGGAGGGTCAGAGGGAGAGAGAGAGAGAGAGCAAGAGCACAAGTGGGGAGAGGGTAAGAGGCAGAGGGAGAAGCAGGCTCCCCACTGAGCAGGGAGCCCGATGCGGGGCTCGATCCCAGGACCCCAGGACCATGGCCTGAGCCCAAGGCTGACACTTAACCGACTGAGCCATCCAGGCGTCCCTCGTCCCCTCTTCTGACAAACTGGATCACTACTTCCAATTCTTCACTCCCTCCTTGTATTAGAATTATACTCCCCCCCTTTGCCAAAGCTTCATGGTGGGTAGAGTGTACTTTGTCCCTTGACTGGGGGCTCAGCCACATGACTGTATTTGGCCAATGGGCTGGCAGTAGTTGTAATCCTAGTAGCTGCTTTAAGTGCCCTTGCACAGGAGTGGGGTTTGATTTGGGGATGGGGATGTGGTGGGTAATGTTGGCCTTTTGCAAGGGAGGGCAGGCCTGGGTAGATGCCCAGCCCAGTGCTATGAGGCAGCACAGGGGTCTGGAGGCAAGGACACGCAGAAAGGGAACAGGGTGCCAAAGCATGCACCTCAACAACTGGCTCACAGTTAACCCTGACAGCAGGGAGGGGAAAGCAGCTCTCCTCCTGACCCAACTAGACAATACTTGGCCCTCAGATCCCTACTTTTGACTACTATAATTGCTTTTAAGATTTGGTTAACTTATGGACTTATAACTTATTTGAGAACAAGCCTGGGGACCTAACCATGAGAGTTTCCAAGTTTCAGGCTGGTTTTGCTAAACTTTTTATTGAAATGCAATACTTGTGTTCAGAAAAGTGCTCATAAAGTAAGCTCGATGAATCTCACAAACTGAACATAGCCATGTGACCAGCACCCCGGTCAAGAAGGCGACCATGCTCAGCTCCCCAGAGAGCCCGCCCGGGGTCCCCATCCAATCATGATCCCCTCCCAAGATCACCACTGTCTTGTCTTAGTGCTCACAACAAGAATGGCATTTGCCTCTTTCTGTAACGGAACCCTGCAGCAGGAGTCAGGTCTGGCTTCTGTCATGGTGCATGGCATTTGTGAGATTCGCCCACATTATTATTGTGACTGTGGGGTGTCATTGTCATTGCTGTGATTAGGTAGCAATGGATTTTCCTCTTTAATAATAACCAATATAATCAATAGAGAGGCACAGCCAATGCTAAGGGAAGGTTTAGCATGAATAAGGGAGATAAATGAAAGCCAAAAAATATACTTGAGGTAAAGACAATTATTTGCACTATATTTTTGGATAATTATACATTATACATTGTATTATGTATGTGTACACACACACACACACACACACACACACACACACACACACACACACTTCTACCAGCTAAATGAATACCAAAGTTGGGATAAAAACAGCTGGAAATCAATTTAAAGTTTTAAAATTTACCCCCAAACAGCAAGAGTGCTCAAATAATGGAAATCGATGACTGAAATCTTAATCTGAGTCCGAGAGTTCTGACCTTTGCCTGGGAAACCGGAGGAGTGAGCAGCACTGAGGGCCCCAGCCTGCTGGCAGAGCCGTGCGCGGCATGCCTGGGCCAGCAGCTCCACCCGCCGCGGCCATCCCGTCCCCCACGGCCCTGCCGCCCCAGAGGGAGCCTGCCCGAGGCCCGAGGACCGCTGGTACCTGCAGCAGACTCCTCGGCGGGTCTGTTTCTCAGGGAGGGCAGTCTTCCACCACCTGCTGTGTGATACCCGCTTCTCCCCTTCTTCCTCTATCACTGTCTGCTTCCCCCACCACCTTCCCGTTGGCTGGAGTTCTGCCTTTACCGTCAGTGCTGTTCTCCCTGCCTTCTCCTTTCTCCTCCTTCCAAGCCAAATGCAGTTTGAAAATGGCTCTTTATCTCACCTTCCCCCCGCAATCGGCAAACACCAGGCTCGTGAAGGAACACCTCTTGCCCCTGCCCGATCCCCAGCCGACCCTACCACACCTCTCGCAACTGCCCCCAGAAAGGCACAGTCAGGAAGCAGTTGGCTCGCCACGGAGGGAAACCAGCCAGAAGGCCGGCTGCAGAAAACACCCGCCCTCCTCTAGACAGAGGGTCTGGGGCTCTTCTGAAGTGGTCATGAAACCATGCCTTCTGGAATTTTCAAACCATTTTGGGACTGAGTTCCAGGGCGTGCCTCAGGACGTGCCTGTCTTCCCCGAGACAGGCCAGGGGAAGGTTCCAGGTCGTAAGTCAGTCAGATTGGCCCCACTGTTTTCTGGTTAATGTAGTGGGATTCTGTATAACATTTTTTTCTGAAACAATCTCATCTAGAGACCTAGAGACAGAAGGAGAAGAAAGGTTTAAAAACTCCTGATCTCGACAAAGCCCAGGGCAGTGTGTGTGTAATCTGTTAGTTTCCCAGCAACATCTAAGGGAAGAGTTTTGATTCAAAAACTCACAGTATTCATCTGGAGTTGTGACCTTTGTGAAAGCGCCATGGGGGCCCTCGCCAACACTGGTGTACGGGGTGACCAAAAACTCATAGAAGGATTCCGGCTGTAGGTTTTCCACGACAAATGTCTTTTGTTTTGGGTTGTCAATTCTGTATTTGCAACACACTGCATCATCTGTAATTCAAAAAAAAATCATTTTCAGGAAAAATAATTATTAAAGAGTGAGAGATCTTGTGACAGGGTTGGGCACTAATACTATTGACTCAGTGCTGTCAACATCTTAAACCAATCAAAAACTGAATCATGATTCCATCACTCTGGGTCATTGGTAAAATTTTTAGGAGATGGCAAGCAAAACAGAGCAACCACGAAACAAGGGATGCTGGTGATCCAGAAAGAGCCCACGAATCTGCGAGACACAGTAAGAGCTTCAGAGAGACTTAAAAAATACATTGTAAGAAACTTTAACAAGGTCAAAAGAAAAAAAGAAAAAGGAGTTAGCAAGAAAGTTTCATAATTGGCAGGTTAAGGAGCTGATGGTACTCAAATGCTTCCAAAAATACCACTTTGTTTTAAGTAAGTTACAATACTGACCCCTACCATCTTGCCCACTAATTTGTTGAAGAGCACGTTGGACCATAAAGGCATGCAAGAACAGGATTCAGCCTGGCCATGGTCACACATGGCCACCTTTGTTTTGTTTTGTTTTTTTATTAAAGATTTTTATTTATTCAACGGAGCACAAGCAGGGGAAGCAGCAGAGGGAGAGGGAGAAGTAGGCTGAGCTGAGCAGGGAGCCTGAGGACCCAGGGACCATGACCTGAGCCAAAGGCAAACGTTTAAGCCACTGAGCCACCCAGGCACGCCCCCCCCGCCCCCCGCCCCCGGCACCTTTCTAATAGTGGTCTTGCATAGTGAGGTCTTGAAAGAGTAAACAAACAAAACCGTCACCTGAAAGAACTGCCTTTTCAGATCCAGAGTGGCACTGCCCCGCCTTGGATTTCAGGTACACGTGGTACCCTTGTATAAAACTGGGTTGGGATTCAATGGAATAATCCTTCCAACTCAGAGTGAAGGAGCGGGAGGTCAGGTTACTCATGACCACTTGAGGGTTGTCTGAAGGAGCTAGGAAAGGAAGTTGGGGGAAGGAGAGTCATCACCTGGAAGTAGCTCCGAGCACTCAACGTAAACTGAAAGTAGAGCCACAGCCAAGTCTGGACACTGGAGGCACTTATGCCAAGTTCAGGGATTTTTCTCTTTTTCTCTGGGGGATTCGAGCCTTGACATGGTTTGTGAGGGCTGGGAAGGAGTTGGGCCATCTTCCTGTCCAAGTCTGGCCTCTCACAAGTGAAGAAAGGGACAGCCAGAGACACTCAACAGCTTGCACGAGGTCACCCAGAGGAAAAGTGAATAAAGGGTTTCTTAGACTTCCCTGTGCTCTTGAATTCTAAATAGTGTTTGACAGAAGACCCTAGCAGAGAACAGACGGAAGGGGGTATTTGAGGAACTCTAGTTCCTGGGTGGTGACAATGCCAAGCCATCCAAGTGTCACTGAAATACTCAGAGGGTGTTTATTCTGAAGGCTTCCTGAGCCTGTTTCCCACACACGTGTATGTATACCCGGTCTGTGCGCAGAGACATGCACACCAGCAACACGCCTCTAGCGTGTCTCAGATGGCTCCCACAGGTGGAGATGTGGGAGACGTGACCTGATCACTGCAAGGCAGGGGAGGTCCCAGGTGCCCAGATTTCAGTGGGATCAAATTGCCTTCTGTTGCTGGTGGAATCACAGTGAAAATTCTGGGGGGGGGGGGGTGATTTCACAATATGGGTCAAAGTTCTTAAAAACTGTAAAAGAAATGAGAAACTAAAGCCTTTTGACTCAAGTATTGTAAGACTTCATTTAAAAACCATTATTGTGGATATGGATGAATGATGGGGACTCAGAGGGCATAAGAGATTGGGCTAAGGATAAAGAAGACTGAGCACTGCAGATGGAAAGACACCTGAAGATGGATTTTATAGTTTATAGTTGAAAAACACTGTAATCATCTTAAGTGTCCACCAACAGGTGATTTGACACACGCAAACAGATACTTGGCAATGATGTAGTTAAATAATATTTAGTGACATGAGTCAAAAACTGCATAGAGTAAGATCCCATTTTTATTTAAAAATGTATATCTATACAGAGAAAGGAATACCTGGATATACATTAAATATTAACTCCGGATATTTGCCTTTGGGTGGTAAAATTAGCAATGAGTTTGTTTTCTTCTTTTGCATAACATTTTATAAATTGTCTTTAATGAAAAGGTTTATAGTTTATGATTAAAAATATTTTTTAAGACCTAATTACCAGAATAAATGGGACACTGAAAATTAGGAAAGGTGTTGAAATATACCTAAATCTACAGCTAGGATCTCTGGATCGTTCTGAACAAGTCTGCCCACGGACACATTACATGCTGTAAACTTACCCAGTTCCTGGGAGTATCCTGTTTTTTTCTCTAATAAGTAAGGAACCCTTTCTGTAGAAATTCCATAAATTCTGAAGTTGTACTGGACCCCTGGTCTGAAAGCATCTAGGGAAGAAAGGTCAACAGATTTTCAGTAACACAGTGTGACATTCTCTTTATTTCTGAAAAGGAACAGAATAAGAGATGAATTGGTGTCTCCTAAATAATTTCCTCCTTAGGGTTTCTGCACTTTATCTCCACCATCTTCCCTGCTTCCGTCGACCTTGGAGTCCTCCACTGTCTCCAGCGAATCCTGCAGGGACTGTCCTCTACACCATCCTCGCCAGCATGAGCTCTCGGATGCCCACGTGCAGGAAACCCAGGGCGGAATTCAACCAGACACAGAAAACCATTTTAAAGTCTTTTGTGACTCCAAGCCCCCACCCCCCGCCAGCAACTTGTCTTCTCTCGCCCCCAGGAAAGCCGAGCTTCTGGAAGGCTTTGCTGGCGCTTCCTCACTCCCCCCACTGCCGCACCTGCACCTCTGCAATCCACCTTCAGCCCCCGCCACACAGCCCACTGCTCTAACCAAGGGCCGCCTCACTTCCTCACTCCCCAACCGCAACTGAACGCCCTCCCTGGCCTCTGGCACCCTCTGGACACTAAGTCCCACATCTTTATCCTGGGCCCAGCAGATGGCGCTGCTGACCCCCCCCAAGCCAGGAACCTACACTTCTTTGACTTTGCTAAACTAGCAATCTTGAAATTACAACTCCAGGTTCTACATTTTTCCACTGAAAGTGAAGGAGTTGACGATTGACTCCTACAACTCCACGTCCTAAATCTCCCAAATCCCTACATTTCTTTGCTTTTGTAAAAGCACCCTAACAGTTGGGGTTATAATGCCCCTTTGCCATTCGAGACCACTGATTTCGAGGTATAAGTTCATAAAAATCATGAAAACCTATCACAGGCTTAGGTCCAGATAATCTCTGTAAAAGTAGATTGAAGGCCAAATCTTAGGCCACATCATTGTAAAATGAACTCCTAGCATCCATGCTGGATTTGTCATTTCAAAATTATTATTTAGCACAAACTAGCTGTGAGATGGTCCAGAGGTCCTAGCTGACTTGCTGCGAGGTGGATGGAACAAGATGGTAATATGCAGGGTTCTTCTTACCTGAGCTAACAACTGTGCTTGTGGTAGTAGGACCTACGCTTTTCCACTGGAGATCACAGAGCGGGCCCCGGGGATGGTCACACCACTCCACAATGTAGCCTGTGACGTTTCCGGGCTGGGGTTTCCAAGACAGAGAGAATCCATCCTCCATGCCTTTAACTCTTTCTTCTTCAACTTCTTCTATACATTACAAATAGAGCCATGCTTCAGATAAAATTAATTGTACATTTGAAAAAAAAAGTGTTTAAAGAAGAAAATCAACTTGAGCATGCACTGTCTCCAACAGTTAAGAGCCCTATCCCTTCAGTGGCTACAGAAGCTTGGGGGCGGGGTAATGTTTTCATGGGTGTTTTCCTGCCTCTCACTTCCCAGCAAATATTCACTTCTGCCCTTTGGATGCCTCTTGTGCTAATCTTCTGAGCCCAACCAGACTTCAGGCCCTAAAACAAGGGTGAGCAAACTACTTCCCGCATCACAAATCCAGCCTCCAAACCTTGCTTTATGACCCCTGAGCTAAGCAGGGTTTTTAGATTTTTAAAGAGGTGGGAAAAAAACAAAGCATACAGGATATAGAACAGAGGCCATATGATCTGCGAAGGCTAAAATATTTACTGTCTCTCCCTTTGCCCGAAGAAGTTGTTGCCCCCATGTCTGGTACTTGGTACTTTCCAAAACTCTCTGTTAAACAAGTGAATAATTGCGTCTTAATTCCCCCACACCATGCCGGCTGCTCCTGCACGGACCACTACTTCTTTGATGTTAGGGGCAGAAATTGAGTGAGAACGACAAAAGAAAGGAAGTTCGGCTATGTACTAAGTTGGATCATGTAGGGATGTGCCCAGTCCTCATGACCCAGGCTGCCACCTCAACCTATTTCATATGCCAGGGTAGTTTCCAGGCGGAAACAAGCGATATAATCTCAGTGGACTCGCAGTTCTACTGATTTCGGGCGGAGTGACCCTATACCTTGGGGGACGAGAATTTCTCCTACTTCCCGAGGCTGCCCTCACAGCCTGCCACTGTTCATAGGCTCACTCGCGTGAGAGCAGAGCCAGACCAAGGAGGGGGCCTGCAGGCAGCTGCTTAGAAAAGCAATCGAGGAGGAGCAAATACTGCATGGCACAGACTTAACATTTACTCATTCTTCATCTGCAATTTAAATTTAACTGGGCCTCCTCTATTTCCTTTGGCACTCCTAATTACCACTGGACATTGGTGTGAAAGCACAGTGTTATTAATTGTTCTAGATAATAACTAGGGGATACCCAAAGGAACATGTAGCTCTAGGTATAAGACAAAGGGTTCCCTGTGAAGGCCTTTGTATATACCACCTACAAGTCTTCCTTGTCTTCTTCCATTAGAGAAATAAATCTCTTTCACATCAACGCTGACATTTTTTCACCTTACTTATTCACACTGGCTGAAATTTCATCCCACACTCAGAATCATAACTCTTATCAAGCTGCTTCTTGAAAACTGCAAGTTATGTTTTGAGAAGTAGAGACAGAGGCAGAAAGGAGAAAGGAAATCTTTCTCTTCAGTCATTCACACTCTAGCATGAATTGGTTTAACCTTAACAGTCGGCCTCAGAGCACATCGGTGCCTTTATCCACTGTGGTGATTTAAGAATGTGGGCCACTTAAGGAAGGCCGGATAGAGCCTCACAAGGTATGGGGGTCTGAGGGCAGGGTATGGGGAAGGAAAGTACGGCTGATAGAGAAGACCCCCAACAGCCAAGAGCTCAGCAGTGTTGTTTGGATTGGGCCTCATTCAAGGCAGTCTTTCTTTTATCAGTCAGCTCCCCCAGGGTGAATGAAATGCCCACTTTTCCTCATCTTGTCCTGATGAAGACAGATTACAACTTTTCACTTTCTTTTATTATTATTTATTTTTTATTTAAATTCAATTAATTAGCCTATAGTGTATTATCAGTTCACTTTCTTTTCTAATGCAGTTTTTGACAAGCAAAGGTCATGTGAAGTAACTGCTTAGTTTTCCTTCGGTGCCACGATCCGGGTTTCTTTTTCTTACTTGACACACCGGATAGTTCTAAAAATAAATAAACCACCACCGCCCTCCGATCTAGCCCACATAACCCAAATGTAAGCCTAACCTGGAAGACCAGAGTAACCCAGCCCGCCGCAGCCCCTCGAGCAGGGCCCGGGAGGCGTCGCCGCAGGGAGCGATGAGGGGGAAGCAGTGTGCCCAGCCTCTTCCCACAGCTGTCCCAAGCCGGTAACGCAGGGGGCTCCTGACTGTACATGGAAGGTCATTTCCACCTCGTCTGGTCTCCCACAGGCTACGGGACTAGCCAGTCACCATCTTTCATTCTGTAACTTCTGCAAAGCCTTCTGGAAGGGTGATGCCAGTCGCTTCTCCTTTCATCACCTCTGGCAATGCTCATGGGCTCTTTCCGGGTGACAAAGACTGACAAAATACTTTACAATAAATGCAACCCACATTTCATAAGCTACAAAGCACGCTTGGAGCGACTCCAGCTCTCGGTGGAGACGGCTTATTGGTGTTGCATTTACTTGAGTAAACGTGAGAGAATTCTCTGAATTTGCTGAAGAATCTCGGGGCAGCCCGTGCTGGGCTGCGGCTGAACACTCATTTTTCCCACACTGAGGAGGGCTGTCCCAGGACACCTGGAGCCGCGCTTAGACCGACAGGAAAGGACGGACAGTGTTTGGCAGCTAGACATTTTGTCTCCCCGGGTTATTGCCTTTCCAGTTTGTCCATCCCTACTTAATAACATCACTGATGCTTTCCCTGAGAATCAAAACAAAACTCACTGTTTCCAGGATCTCCAGAGACTATGATGACTGAAGCAGGGGACGTGCCCACACTGTTATTAGCTGTGACGTGGATTTGGTACAAACACTGGTCAAGGTTTAGTTCTGTGCCATTGGCCGGAGCAGGAATGGAGAGGAGCTTCGAGATGGATGATCTGTCTAGATTTTCTATAACTATATTATAGAACAGAATCTTCCCATTGGCCTGCAACTTTGATAGTGGCTGAAACAAATAAGGATCATCATTTCAAAATGGGCTTTCCTCTGAAAGGAGTTTGCATGAATACTTTTTTATCTTTTCTGTCCCTGCACAGTTGTGCTCTGAGCCATTCATGGAGCCCACAGCCACCTCTGGACCATCCTCCAGGCTCAAGAGAATTCCCTGCCCACACCATCCCAAGCCCACTGCCAGGACCTGTCCCTCCAGTCAGCCCTCTCAAGGGCAGACGGTGGCCCTGGTGTGTGTGCCCCTAGGCCTGAGAATGGACTGCGAACAGTTATTTGCCCGGGTGTGGCCAGAGCCTGGACACACAGACTGTGCCCTCAGTTGAGTGCCGGGCTCCCTGCAGAGACAGGCAGCCTGCAGGTGGGAAGGAGAGCCAGGGGGCCGTGGCTAGGGGCTAACTCTCCCAGGACTGTTGTGTTTGGTTTGAAAACATGAGCTGAGGTTCTGAGAGTTCTGAACACAAACCTGGACTTCCAGGTTGCCATGAAAGGTTTAATGGGCAAGGTAGAATGACAAAATAGATTTTACTTTTTTCTCCAAATATATTTACGTTAAAGTTTTTTAGCTTGACTCATAACTCCTATATGTAAATATTGTTGAGTATCTAAATATTAATAACCTTTAAATATGGTATACGCGTCTCCACTTACACTCATGCCCTGGGCCCTGCAAAAGTTAGAGCAGGCCGGAAGAGAAGTTTCAGAGATTCGGAGCTGGCCATCTGTGGGATGAGACGTCAAGGAGGAGCAGTCCAAGCATTAGGGAGATGGTGTGGGCGGGGACTCCTCCCCTGCGTAAGACGTCCTACTGGACTCACGTTAAGACCCCCCAGCCCCCAACGCAGACTGCACCAGCATCCGGTGTCACACTGAAAGACAGTGCCAAGCAAATGCGTCTTGGGGAATCTGTGCGTATTACCTTCCAGAATAAAGTCACAACAGAATGTCCCTGCACTGACTTCACATTTCTCCAGACGTCAGGAGCCTCTGAGGGAGCTGCAATGAACAAAAGGAAAGATCACGGGTCACGCTATGTATGTGGAACAATACAACCTGTTTCGGCTTGGGTCAGACGAAGTGAGGGTGACCTGCCCTACCTGAGGCCTGCTTCTCACTTTTTCACTCTCTGTGACTTCTCCCCACTTGTCCACGGCCACATTGTTCACTCCTCACTAAGTGCACATAGTAGGTGCTCGACAAAAGGTCTGTTGCATCAAACCAAAAGTTCTTATGAACATCAAGCCTGAGCTTCCGGAAGCCACCAGGAAATTTGGGAATCATTCATCAGTTAGACCAATTGTAGGAGGTTAGTTAGATAAATCTCTCATTTGCTGAATTTCTAGGAGCAGCAGACCATGGCTACTTCCTTGCTTCATTTGCGAATGTTGCAGCGGAGGTGCACTAACGGGGAGCCCTAGGGGCTGGTGGCACTCTGATGTGTGTTCGTGATCTCACAGTGGCTGGTCCTCCCGCCAGTCCCCTCGCCTGGGCACCCGCCTTGATCCCCTCCACAGGGAAGGCCACAGCCCCTCCTCCTCCTGCTCCATTCTCTGCCAGCTCCTGGCCTGCCTGGGGAAGCTGCCTGCCTGTTGGGCCCTCAGGGCACCTGCTCATTCCTTGACCACATTGTTCTAGAAAAGCCTGTATTTACCGCCAGCAAACTGTAGGACAAGTGATTTGTGATTTGATGCAAAACATCTCAATGCAAGAAGAATTGTTTTGGAACATAACACAAAGATTTAGCTGATTTATCAAAATATAGTGTACTGTGCCCAATAATTGAAATTTAAGTAAGTCCCTTTTTAGTTGCTGACACTTTCTCCTCAACTAAAGATGACCGTATATTTTTAAAAATGTATTGAAGCAGATTTCAATTTGCTAAATAATCCACTGGAGAAGCCAATACTCAATCAAAAACTTACTGAAATACTCAGAAACGACATGGGACTCTAAGCTCAATGCAAAATCTTCAGCTGGCTTGGAAGTCTCTCTTTGTGAGGAGAGTGTTCTGTATTTGGGTCAATACAGTTTCTACTGTGTTTCTACTGGTGGCATTTCTGTCCGCTCGCTATGATTACACTGCAGTATGGTTCTAATACACATACACATCGACCTTTCCAGCATCAAGCAAAGTGTTGTCAGAGGGAAAATATATATATATACACACACAGATTCACCATCAGTAGCTTCATCTCATTCTCTTGTTATTATCCAAAGCAAAACTTATTATTTTCAGATTTTTTGCACTAAAAGAAATGCAATTTACTGAAAACTCTATCCTTCTGCCATTTTCCTTTTCCACTTAATTTTAGTTATAATGTTGGAATAAATTCAAAAAAAAAAGAGCAGTATCATTAAAGTAAAAATTCTTTAATAAAACACAACTGAGGAGGATACCACATTACTGTTAGGAACAGAGTTTTTCTACAGCAGGGATTCTTGAGGATTCTTTCTCTAGAAAAAAATTACCGGAGGCCCCGGGGAGCAGAGGCGGGGCGTGAGGTTGGGTGGGAACACCAGACATGGAGGGGAAAAGGCTGCTGAGCACAACCAGTGACCAACCCATGTGTAGGCTCGTAGGAGCTGTCCTTGTCACCCCTCAGCTCCAGTCCTCATGAGGAGAAACAGAAAGAGTCCTGCCAGCCTACCACACACGAAGAGAAGGTGGAATAAAGTAAATACAGAGACTCCTTCCTTTGGCAGTAGAAGAGCCAGGATTTGAATGGGCAAGATCTCAAGGCTGTAATAACATCATTGAGAGACAGAACACACAGAATCCGGTTCTGGTTAAGGGTGGAGCTCTGGAGTCAGGGGCCCTGGGTGGGGGGTCACAGTCAACAGCTCTGTCACTTACTGGCGAGGCCAATGACATCACTGATCCCCTGTGTGCCTCGGTGTCCTCAGTGTCCTCATCTATAAAGCAAGGAGGACTACCCATTGTGCCTCCTGCCTGCCGTGAGACGTCAAAGAGAAAAACACAGCGGATGCTGTGAGCCATGTGAGGCACTCAGTGAGGGCTAGCCACCATAACTGTCATGACTGGTGTCTCTGCCCCTCAGGAACTCCGCAGACTGGGCAGGTCTCTCCGATCTACGGGCGCAGCTCGCCTCCTCTGTCAACTGGGCAACAATGATCATTTGTTGTTTTGAATTGGAAAGAGATGAAAGCAGGGCTGGGCCAGCTCATCTCTGCAGGCCTGTTGGAGCTGTAAGCCATAGTTATTAGTGATTTGTCAGAAAAACTCATGTTTCAGCCAGTGGTGAGGAAAGTCCCACTGCAGGAACGATCGAGAGGACTCAACGGTTCACTGTTGGTGAACAAACGACGTATCAATAAAAATTAAGTTTCCAAATATCATTCCATATCCACACATAGCCTGAAGCTGTTTGGTATGAGATCCATGCTTTCCTTGGCATGGACACTACTGTTTGTCCCTAGTCCTTAATTTTAAAAGTCTACACTGATTTACGTAGCCCCGGGGCCAATGGGGATCCAGCAATACCAGTAGCTTATAAGCCACTTTGGCAAAATCAAAGATGAGAGAGGAAATGTATAAAAGAAAGAACACTGATTGATGCATGTTTGAGGTGGATGTCTTCCCATTCACATGTCGTTAAGCATTTAATTCAGTTCTTTTTAAAAAGATGGTATTCAGTCTCTGTTGCAATATGTTCCCCTTAATTTTGGGTACAATCAAAAGCTCTCAGGGAAACCAAGCCATCTCCCATGAGTCAGTTTAGATCCTTGAGTTAAATAGCAGGGAGCTGAACATACCAGCTTCAGCTGTGGTGAAGTTCTGACGAGTCCATTCACTCCATTTCCAGAAGTGGTTGGCATTAGCACAGCGTACTTGGGCCCTGTACTCTGTGTCTGGCTTCAGGCCACCGAAGAGCTGCTTACCATCCACCTCGACGGAAACGTTGCGCTTTTTCAAAGAAAGGGAGGGAGGGAGGGAGGAAGGAAAAGAAGAAACGAAAAGAAAAAAGGAACCAAGAAGAAAGAAGCAGAAGAAGGAACACAGAAGACAGGTGTAGTGGTGAGCATACTTCATAGCAAAGTCAAATCATAGCATGGTACATTCTGATTTGAGGTAAGACTACTTCTTCTTTAGGCCCTCTGCCCAACTCTAAAGTTTGTGATTAATTTCATAAACTTTAATTTTTAAACAGATTACCCTTACCATTTGAACCCACACAGAAATAAGATTTTATATTTTTAATTAGTTAATTATTTTTTTATTAGTTTCAGAGGTAGAATTTAGTGATTCATCAGTTGCCTATAACACCCAGTGCTCATTATATCATGTGTCTTCCTTAATGCCCGTCACCCAGTTATCCCTGCCCCCACCCAGCTCCCCCAGAAATAAGATTTTAAAGAGGTTTTATTCATTAGTCTCTCTGTTCAGGACATAAAGGGATTTTTGAAAATAGAAAATTAAGCAGCATTCTTACTTGTATTACTTCTCCTTCACCATAGAGTTCAACCTGGCACAGCAGTGTATAATAATTACCAGTGGTATGAACCTTCCAGGTCATGGTGGCATTTGTGGCGCTTACATCTGTAAACAGTACACTAAAGGGAGCCATTGGGTGCACTGTCAAAAAGAAAAAAAAGAGGGAAACAAAGTGAAAAGAAATTCAAACATAAATCCAAAAAGACTTTGGCAAACAGCGGTTCATGTCTTCATTTATTTATTCAGTGGTATTTTTTTCTTGTTTCTTTTTGAAAAAATGGCAAATGAAACTGGACTTATAGCCAAGATGGAGTAAGCCGACTAAAGCTTTTCTCTCTCACCAGATTATATGAGAAATTCTGAACAAAACATAAGAAGAAACTACCAAGGATTCTTAAAAATTCAACAAAAGCAGGCAGATTGTGAAGGGGAATCAAAACTTGGAGAAGTGGCTCATGGGGAGAGTATAAAAGAACCCAGAGTCTAAACAAAATAACATCAACAATGTCAAAGGTACAACCCCAAATTATTCCACATACAAAAACCCAGAACATGTCACCAATTTCCAAGGGAAAAGAAAATCAACAATCAATCAAGATGTCCCATGTGACTTTAAGAGAGATCCAGGTCACAACAGTAAACACATTTGAAATGAATAGAAGAGAAACGCTTCTCAGCAGAATAACAGAAACTATTTTTTTTAAATCAAATGAAAATTTGGAACCAAAAAATGTATTATCTAAAATGAAAAATGGACTGGATGAGGTTCAGGTCTTGAAAAGACAAAATAAGCACTTCCCATTCTGTCTGTCCCCCTGAATCGAGTCAATACAGTCCATGGAGCATTCTCAAATGCTCTATTTGCGAACTCTGAAAGTAGACATCAGCAGGCAGGTTGGAGAAGACCAGAATGTGAAGTATTGCTGTGCAGGCAGTTGGAGGGTAAAGGAAGACATATGGGTTATAAAGCTTCTGCATTTTACTTAAAGTGGAAAATACTAACTCTAAGAAAACTGTGAAAGAGGGGCGTCTGGGTGGCTCAGTCATTAAGCGTCTGCCTTTGGCTCAGGTCATGATCCCAGGGTCCTGGGATCGAGCCCCAGGTCAGGCTCCCTGCTCAGCGGGGAGCCTGCTTCTCCCTCTCCCACGCCCCCTGCTTGTGTTCCCCCTCTCACTGTCTCTCTCTGTCAAATAAATAAATAAAATCTTTGGGAAAAAAAAGAAAAAGAAAACTGTGCAAGATTAGTAAATATTGTAATCTCCAGAGGAAAAAAACAGGAATACAAAGAGGTGTAGGCAAAAGTCAGTAGATAAATTAAAGTGGAATACTAAAAAAATATTCAAATAATCCCAAAGGGGGCAGTATGGGAAGATCAGAGGAACAAAAAACAGAGGAAACAAATGGAAAATAAATAATAAAATGGTAGGCTTGAGTCCAGCCGTAATTGATAATTATGTCAAATACAAATGTCCCAAACACACTGACAGAAAGAGAAATTGTCACTCGGGAGAGAAAACGAAACCAGTCATGGACCTGCCTTCAGAGTGCAACAATAGGGGAACAAACATGAATCGATAACCACAAAACTAAATGTGACATTGAAAGTGGGGTGACCACAGTGAAGGTGTAAAAGGCCTTTTTGACCTAAAAGATGGAGTTCTAGAAGTCCCTATCTGGAGGCTTCATCTCTATCTCACTATCCATAAGCTGATGACTCACAATTCTAATTCTCTATCCCAGACTTCTTCCACGCTCTCCAAACTCTATATGCAACTGTCTCCTCAACACCTCCACCCCAAACCTGACACGGCCAGAACAGAACTCTAAGCCCCCGCTCAGAGCTGCTCCTCCCCAATATCCTCCCCACTCTGGAAATAGTTCCAATATTAGCTCAATTGTTTAGGCCAAAACCCTAGGAACCATCCTAAATTCCTCTTCCCTTATAACGCACATGCCTTCCCCAAGTCCGTCCTACCAGCTCTATCTCAAAGCGAATTGAGAATATGACCACTTCCCACCAACTTCGTCCATCACTCCATCTGGTGCAAAGGCTCTGCCCGATGACTGCAACAGCCTCCCAGCCAACTCCCTGCCTCCACCCTCGCCCCTGACAGCCCAGCCCGAGCGATCTCTCCCCATGGCGCAAGTCACACCACTCCTCTGTCCCGATGAACACCTCCTAAAACAACCAGTGAAGACCATCCCCTTCATTCCAGTTACTGCGCCACTGACCAGGACACTCCAATCTCCTTTCTCTCGCAGTGTGGGCACTCTGAAACAAGCCAGAGCTTGTTCCCATCCCATGACCTTTTCAAATCCTATTCTTTTTGCTTCAAATGCTCTTGCCCCAGACGTTTTCTGCTTCTGTCTCAGTCTACAACCGCCTCATCCTAACTGAAGCGGCATCTGGCATTCTCCACCACATTACCCGAGTTGACCTGCTCCATAGCACGTATCAGTCCTTGAAATACTGTGTGTGTCCACGCCCCACTCTCACCCCCTCCCCCAACACACTCTCACATACAAGTTCATACAGGGCAGTTACCCAGTTTTGTTCACTGCTGCGTCCCCAGTGCCCGCTACGGTAGGAGGCACTCTGCCATTATCTGGCTGACTGAGTGGCGGTTAAGCTGAAATCTAAAAGATGTGTAGGAATTAAGAATGTAGAAGGTGAAGGATGACCGTTCTAGAGAAAGGGAAGATGTGTAAAGATTCTGCATTTCATAAGAGAGAAAACACGTGGTCAAAACATAGGAAGAGATATTCAACTTTAGGGATGTGTAGATCAAAACCATCACAGATACCATGGTATACCCAGGAAACTGACAGAATGACAAGGGCAACCATGCCAGCGTGGGGAGGCTGTATGAATTCAAGGGCCGGGGTACGATTGGCACAGCCCCTTTGGAAAACTATCTGGCTTTGTGTCTAAAGTTGCACATTCACATTCTCTATGTCCTCACCAATTCCACTCTGGGGTATACACTCCGGAAAACAAAGGTAGGCCAGTCCTACATCCATAAGGCTCATATTAGCACTGTACCCAAGAGCAAAAACCTTGATACAATCTGAAAAACCATCAAAGGAGATGCCTGACCAAAGTACCATAGATCTACACAATGAAATACTTCACGGCAGTGAAAATCAACGGACTATAACGATACTCAATAATAAGGGTCAATATCAGTAATTTAATACCACATAAACGGTAATTACTAAATTATCACATATGGCTTGATGTCTTTTATATACATTAAAACCAATCAAAATAAAAACATAGTATTTTTAGGATGACATTAGAAATGAGAATACACACACCTATACATACACACACACATTCCAGATTTAAATCTGTAATTATCTTGGCGGAAGGAGCAGCGTGGGGGGGCTGTGGGATGGGAGATGAAGTGAGTTACTGTCAGAGTTCTAGTCTGAAGGTGAGTAGTAAGCATGCAGGTGCTTATTACATTATCAAAACAAACAAATAACAGGGGACCGTGGGCCATGCATGCATCCATGAAGAGAAGTGTGGCATCAACAAGAGTTATAAATTAAAACTTAAAAAAAAATGATTATTTATTTGAGAGAGGTGGAGAGAGAGAGAGAGAAGCAGCACATGCACACATGAGCAGGGGGTAGGGGCAGAGGGAGAAGCAGACTCCCTGCTGAGCAGGGAGCCCTAGACCCCTGGATCATGACCTGAGCTGAAGGCAGACACTTAACAGACTGAACCACCCCGGCGCCCCTATGTTAAAACTTTCACTTAGGATGTGAATTAGGCAAAAATGTACAGCACTTCCTTGATCACACAGTGTGTCACACAACAACGAGTTTGAAACCACAGCGGGCTCTGACCCTAGTCTCACCTCGATGAGTCAGGTTAAAAAGAAGGTGAACACTTCTCTTTCTTAAGTAGTTTTCAGCGGTGAGTGTGAAGTTATACATTTCTTGGGACTCTGGAGCTACTTCCCAACTACACCAGCTTTTGTGTTTACAAAGTGTCTTTTTCCCGGAAAATCTTAAAAAAAATAAAACACAAAACAACAGTTTCAGGGTTTACACTTTTGTCAACGCAGAGATGTATCCCTACACTCAGGGCACACTCAGTGGCTTTCTAACTACGTGCCACGCGCTGGCGTTGATCCCCCGTCATCAACAAATGCTGTACTGAAAATATTGTTGCAACAGATTCGATTTCTGTGGTGAAACGTGTAACGACGATGGATCACTGCCTGCGCCCCTCCACCAACATGGGGGGGGGAGACTACTCTTTATTTTAAATATTCTTAAAAAGTTAGAAATTAGGTAGACCCAGATCACCCGATGGAACCATGTTCACATCAAGATTCACCATTAACGGGCTTTCTTATCATTTTTACGTGACGTTTTCTTTTCACAAAACTCAGGTGGAAAGTATTGTACAGTTGTGACCATGGAGAGATTTCCTCCTGACTCTGGCCGGGTGGTTGTCAACTATTTGTTCACATTTTCCCCAGCCTCTAAATGCGGCTCTTGTCGTCACAAGCGCCTTAAACAAGGAGGAATCGGTCAGGAAGGCAACCAGAGCTAACTTACGATTCAAATAAAGTATAGCTTTGGGAAAGCTGTTTGAGCAAGCCAGTGTCACTCCTGGGATCCCAAGTACAGTTCAGTGTCGTGAGGTCCTGGGTTTCACAAGAAAAATCCTTGGGCTCCTCAAGGACTTCTGTCCATACAAAGAAGAAAACAGATGAAAGACCTCGTTAAATCCCTTTATTGAAAGACAAGGAAAACGGGAAGCTCCTTTTGGGTCTGAGGCCACAGAGTCACTCTGAATGATAAAAACATCACACCCGCACCTCCAGAAAGTCACAGTTCAGGCACCTCCTCCCTTCTCCCTTCCCTCGTTCATTTTCTGAGGCCTCAGCTGCCGGGGTGTGGGCGCTGTGCAGGGGTCAGCAGTGTGTCCGGGGAGTTGTACCCCCAGGGCCTGCTAGGGGGCACTCAACACCTATCCCTGACTGTCAGACGAGTGAGCGGAAGAATGAATGAATGAATGAACAAACGAAGTCAGTGTTGCCCACTGTGTCAGCGCGGAAGCTGGGGCTCGCAGGCAGCCTCGGGGCTATTCGGCTTGGGATGCCAGGAAGTCCGAATTGGGGGACTGCTAAGCTGGGGCAGCAGGACGCTGAGAGTTCCAAGGAACCGGCAGCAAGCACCTCCGAGCCCTGGGCTCCCTGCGGCTCTCAGAAGCCACGCCCCGGGGACAGCGGCGGCAGGTGTGCGGCAGCCCGGAGCCCGCCTGGGCCGAGAAGCAGGAGGGACGGGAGGGAGCGGGCTCAGATGTTGCCCGACCTACAGTTCAGGGGAAGGCAGGTCTCCTGACCACATGCAGGAGGGCCCTGGGCACGGGCACACAGTCCTCCGTAAAAGGTAAAACGTTCCCCCTCCCCTGTTGCCAGCCACCGAGGCGCGTGACCGTTTCCTCGCCGGCTTCACAGTGGGGATCCATTTGCTGGATTGCTAGCGTGTGCGGCGCCGGTGTCGGGGCCCGACCTGTGGGTGTTCATTCACCCTCAAACAACCAGTCCCCGGCCTGCTTCACAGAGAAGGAAACGGGCTCGGAGAGGCCGGGAAACTTGGCCAAGTTGGCACGCCCGGGCGCGGGAAGAAGATTCGAACCCAGGTCTTCTGGGCACAACACTGGCTGCCTCCCTGGGGTCCGCGGCCCTGCCATCTCTCCCCCCCACCCCCCCACCCCCCCCCCCCCCCCCACCCCCCATCTTGCAGTCCTGCCAGCATGGCTGAGGTGAGACAGGGCCCTTCCCAGTGGTCTAGGAAATGACCCGAACTTTCTCCCCTTTAATAACCTTGGTTTCTAGGAATAAAATTGTCAATAAGGACAAGACAACAACAGGAAATCCCGCAAGTATTGCTTCAAGGTATCTCTTCCAGAGTCTCTCCTAGAAGACTCGGGAGACAAAAGAAAATCCAGACCATGGATGGAAATGTTTACTTGTCTTCTGGGAAAGGAAATTCCATCTATTCTAAGAAACGAGAAGAGCACAGAGCATGTGCACACTTACTTGACACAAAGAGAACGATGCCCTTTATACTGTCTCCTTGGTCCCCCTTACAATAGATATTTGTCCCGGTTTCCCTAATGAAAGCAACATGATTCAAGTTGAACACGGAGACATTTGGCTCGAGCTGTTCTCCCTGCATCCGTACGCCTTCCAAATAACAGGATATGTTATTTTGCTGGCTCCTGGAAACGTAACAAATGGTGACATTGGAGCCTTCTTCCACCAGCTTATCTTTAGGGAAAACGAAGAATGGGTCGTGTCCAAGAGAATTCTGTACTACAAAAAACAAAGAGACAGCTCAGTCAGAACCTCACTCAAACTTCAAACCAGCCCCTCTGGTCTTCCTCTCAACGATAGCTTCAGCCTCTTCCACCCGCTGCGGAAAAGAGGAGCCTAAATTTCTTGGCAAACCTATAAAGTTCGGTGCCTGCGCAAACACTCCTTCCTACAAGGGCTCCTATTGTTAGGCGAAATGCTGCTGGGGCTCTTACTACAAAGACAGCGCGTCCTGTCACCCTGGGATTAGGCGTCACTACTCCTTGGCTTATGACATGGCCACAACTGCTCTCTATGGGCCCAAGCCCCAACGGAGGCTCTGCGTTCTCTCTTTCCACCTGACATCACCCACACAGCTAGGACTGACTGAGCCCAAGTTCACTCATCCAGCAGGTGGCCAAGCCACATTCCCACCTGCCAGGTCTGCCCATCTGCACGGCCACGTGTCCCCTCCACCCCCCCCACTTTTTTAGGGTTTTTTGAATTAATTAATTAATTAATTTGAGAGAGAGAGAGAAAGAACGTGAGCAGGAGGGGCAGAGGGAGAGGGAGACAGAATCACAAGCAGACTCTGTGCTGAGTGCAGAGCCCCACTCGGGACTCGATCCCACAACCCTGAGATCATGACCTGAGCTGAAAGCAAGATTCAGACGTTCAACCCGCTGAGCCGGCCAGGCGCCCCCCACGCGTCCCTCTTAATCTCTACACTGTACTATTGACCACATCTCTGCCCACCTTCTCGGAAATGCCAGTCACTCAAATATCTCCTTTTCTCTCGTCTCTCCTTCTGTATGACCGTCAGGGTATAAGAATCCTCAGGGGTCTCCCATTTCAAGCCCTCCCCGAGCCTCCCTCCCACCCCGAGGACCCGCTCCTCCACCCTTGGCCTCCGTGAAGGAGCGGCCTGCGCTTACTGCTCGGCTCCATCGCTCCTGCTCACTCAGCCGGCCGTGGTCACCGAAACTGACACCCCCCCCCCCCGTCACCCCTGCTGCGTGGCCTGGGCAGGGGGGCTTTTTTAAAGGTCCCAGGTGATTCTAATGTGCAACCATGGCTGAGAACCAGTGTTTGGGGGCCAGGAATAAACAGTCAGGTTTTCCATTCATTCTTGAGTTAGTTTGGAGGTTACAGATTTGAGAAATCTAGTCCATTTTATCAAAGCTGTTTATAATGTTGTTCTCTCTCTTACTGTCTTTTCAGTCTGTTTTTTTTTTTTTTTTCCTGTGTGTTCTTCTGTCAGCAGTAGGATGTAATGTGAAGAGGGGGGCCCTCTGGAGCCAGGTTGGTCCGGGCTAGAGTTCTGGCTCTACCACTTAGTGGCTTGATGACTTTGCATGGGTTCTTTAAGCTAACTGTACCTCAGTTTCTTCATCTGTGAAGTGGGGACAAGAATAATACATATTTCAAAGGGCCGATTTGAGGGCTAAATTAATATGTAGAGTGCTTAGAACATGACTAAAATGCAGATTTAATTCTATTAGCAGTATTAAACTAATCACTAGGCTACTCATGGGTTAATAATGTGCTATCAGTTTGACCTAATCGATTTGTATAAACACTTAACAAAGGAATGGTTCTATTGGCAGGAATTTCCAATTATCTGGCAGGGTGTATAAATTGAGAGAGCCAAATGCCATTGCTTTAGAACCAACCAGCCTATAGTTTAAATGAAGCATAATAAACTGTGGCAAAATCCACTCTAGATTTTAATTATAACAAAATTAAATTATCGAAATTAAGAGATATGTAAAACATATTTATCCATAATCTCATTACTCAAATGAAGACTTGATTTTGTTTTTCCGTATTTCACCCCTTCTCTCTACATTAGGGGTTGGCAGGCTATGGCCCGTGGACCAATTCTAGCTTGCCATCTGTTTTTGTAAATAAAGTTTTATTAGAACACAATTCTCATTAGTTTACATATTGCTTAGGACTGCTTTCCTGTTACAGTGGCAGAGTTGAATAGTCATGACTGAGACCAATAGGGTCTGTAGGGCCTAAAATATTTCCTATCTTGCCCTTCACACAAAAGCTTCCTAACCTCTGCTCTAGGTGCAGACACATTTTGTCTTATTCTAGTAAAAACGTATGTACAATTTATGTCCTGCTTTGTCCTCTTAGCATTCTATAATAAACACGGGTCCCCGGTTTAGAAAATAAATACAAAATCGTCTGAATTTACATAATTGTCTCTAAGAATAAATTCTGAGGCAAAACCATAGACGTCTGTCTCCTGGTGGCAAGTTTCACACCCATACTTTTTAGTTCCAAGGGAAGACAAAGAAAAATAATGTTGGTTTCTACTCAGTCTCCTCAAAAGAGACTTCTACTATTTGACTATTGATCCCCAAATAATATTAAATATTCAAACTTTTAACTCTTTTATCACCTCCCTTCTTACCATGTACTTCCTCCCACGAGCTCCAGTTGCTCCAGAAACTCTGCTCGGGGGTCTTGGCATCATCCACCGCACTCCTCATTCTTATAAAATGTTTTGCACATTCCAAGGGGAGCTTGGATTCCCAGCTCCAGTGCAGAACTTGGTTCCACTTCACAGTGGTGCTATAGTTCTCCTAGAAAGAAAGAGAAAAACTTGGAAACATGGAGCCATGCCGCCCTGGAAAATGCCTTGACTAGAGTTACCCCAAAGCACACACCTGGGAGCCCACTGTAGCTCCCAAACATGAGCAAGTGCGGTGCATCCCTAACCAGCCAGTTCCCCCCGGTTTGATGTTGCAGCAGAACCTTCCACAGCCTCCTGTCTTTTGAAAGCTCATCTCCCACCCCTATGGCCCTCTGATTCCAGGGAGCTTGTGGGGAGCAAGTGAGAGAAAACTGAAGCTACTCAAGTCTTGGGGGGAAGAGATCAAAGTCAGAAGGTAGGCACAGGGCTCGTCACACAGAGCCTGCTAAGAAAATTTCTGCAAACTAGATAATTAATTGAGTCATTCTTTAAAAATAAGCAAGACTGATGAGTATTTTCTTAATAATCATTTTTAGCCATGGTCAGATCAAGTTGGTCAAATCTCAGTAGAGAGGGCAGTCCTTCATGGTACCCAGGAGGACCGGTGGCTCTCAGAAGCCAGTAGAAGGATCTCCATGAGGCCCTTGGGCTTTGTTTTCTGTCTGGTTTGGTTTGGTCTCTTATCTTTGCAGATATGTGGCCAAGAGGCCATATCCTCTTCTTTGAGCTCCACCTGTTAGAATCTGTAGTCCCAAAAGAGGTCAAGCACACAAGAACGTCTTACACGGTACTCTTGGGAAGCTTGTCCAAGTTGAACTGCAACTGGCCTTCCCTCACAGAATTTTTTTTTTTCAAGATTTACTTTAGAGAGAGAGAAGGACAGAGTGTGCGAGTAGGGGAGGGGCAGAAGGAGAGAGAGAATCTTAAGCAGGCTCCATGCTCAGTGTGGAGCCCGACCTGGGGCTCGATCTCACGACCGTGAAATCATGACCCGAGCCTAAATCAAGAGTCGGATGCTTAATCGACTGAGCCACCCAGGCACCCTTCCACACAGCCTTTCATCTTGATCTTTCTAAAGTTCTGGTATTTTCTTTCTCGAATTCAGTAGGCTTCAATGGCTCCTTTACACCTTACCCTGTCAGCCATCTACATTCTGACTCCAACCCACCTCTCACTCACAGGAATCTCCTGTCTGGACACAGTGGTCTACCTTGCACTTGGGGAACAGCTTTACGCCTTTACACCTCAGTGTTGGCTCACACAGTGTCCCTGGCTTAATGCCCCCACACTTCCTCTGCACTGGGACTTCGTCCAGGCCACACCCATCCCTGCCTCCCGCGGAGCCCTCCTGCACACCGGGCGTAGTCGTTGCCATTTCATCTGTGGTTGGGTTGTGTCCCTGGCTGGAGCATGGTCCCAAAAGAACGGGGACTGGGCTTCATTCTTCTTCACATCCTGCCTGGCTCCAGGCACTCAGCCTCCTTGGTGGGCCCCTCCAGGACACTTGCTCTCTGCCCCCACTGCGGGGGGGCAGAAATACCAACAAGCCAGCCAACCAACCAACCCAGAAACTATATCAATAATGGCGACCTTACTGTCAACAAGCCACAGTCTGGGTTTTACCTCCTGCCTCTCTCTGGAATCTAGCCACTTTTGTCATCCCCAGTGTCACCAGCCACTCCGGGTCCCTCTCCACTGGACCCACCCTAGCCCCCTTCATACTGGTAATGCTTTGCCTTCTCCAGCTTCCCCACCTGTTCTCCACTGTGAGCCAGAGTGGACTTTTCAAACACTTCCAACCTGTCCTTCCTCTTCTTTTTATGGCTCTCAGGATAAAACAGAAAACCGAGCATGACCTCCGGCGTCCTGGGTGGTCTCTCCCGGGGCCATGCCTGCCCCTCTGTGCTCCGGACTTTCAGGCCTGGGAGCTCACAGCCCTTCCCTCAGCGCCTCAGCTCACATCTGTGGGCTCTTCCCAGAATATTCTTCTCCACCCTCCCTTCTAAATTAGCGTCTAAACCTCTTTCTTGTTTTGGCTCAAACAGTGCTTCTTCTTAAGTTGCTGGAGAAGGTCCAACCTTAGCGTAACCCCACAATACCTTGTCAGCAACCATCACTGCACATCCCCCATTTGGGACACTCTCGTCTGTGTGTTGTATCTCCTCATTCCTGCTCAGCACTGACAGACCTACGCCTTGAATAATGGCTGGACCCAGGCTCCCAGTCTCAAGCTATGCGCGCAATGACTTCATCAGTTCATTAATAGGCAGCGGGCTCTATTTTTCTCAGACACTACTCGTGTGGATCCTGTCTAACTACAAACTTGTGCTTTGTGCTGTTCACAGCCTTGTCATGGAGGAGATAAAACTTTCCTTGAATGCATCAATTCAGTGATTTTTTTTTAATGTGATGAATTATGTTTGGGCTGTTTTCATTCACTGAAGTGGCAAGTTTCATTTGGCAGACACTAGTAAGTCATAAGAAGTTGGCACATCCATCTCTACAGAAGTCCAAGTGAGGTCACTGATTCATTCCTGAGGCGAGCACAGATCCCTGGCAGACTCGGCTCCTGGCCTCCTTCGGCCACTGACAGGATGAGAAAGCAAGTGGCTAGAGAGGCCGAGGGCAGAACTGGGCCCAGGTGAGGCCATGTGGTGCGGGCAGGCAGGTAGGCGGGTGGCTGCCAGCAGGCCTCTGCGTGGCCCGCACTGTCTGGGAGGTGGCTCAGGGTCCCCAGCCTGGCTGCAAGCACTTGGACCAGGATGCTCCTCCTTGGCTTGTTTAGGCACATGATCATCCAAGGCAGGAGTCCTGAAAGCTGCCCCTTCTCAGCATGCATGAAAGTGCGCTGTCAGCCTTGCATTATGAGAAACTGCCTTGTGAAAGGGACATTGTGCTCTAGACAGAAGCAGTCCCCCTTGGCTGGCTTTCTTCCCCTTAACTGGAGGGGGATCTCACGTCTCTCCTTGACTTTAGACCTGGGAGGGTCAGGCAAGGGCTGCTCGTGGTATCATCTGTTCTGGGAGGCATGGCCACTGATGACCTGTGGCCGTCACCCATGTCTGGGTATGTGGGTGAAGGAGGATACCGTCCTGGTTGGCGACCTTGACTAGCACAACCCACCTCTCTGTGCCTTGTGTTTCTGCTCTCCCCAGTCAGGCTGGGCCAGGTGATATGGGGACAATACACTGGACAAGGCAAAACTCTAGTCTCGAAGATCTCGAGCCTTCGTAGGTTACAGAAGCAGGTTTCACAGGCTGCTCTACCCTGAAAAAAGAACCCTTACACGAATCAAAGGTGAAAAGAGATACGAACAACTGCCTGTTAGAAAAATAAACAATGGGATCCACTTGGTGTAGGGTTAGCGTTACTTCTGCTAATGGTGTTAAGTACTAGTTTTTCATGAATTCTTTCAGCATTTTCCTCAAACTTCTTTTTCTTAGACAACTAGCCTCAATATGACCTTTGTGCAATATTTTATTGGGTCCAAATCAACAACCAGTGAGTGCATCCATCAAAAATATCAAAATATGGGGGCACCTGGGTGGCTCAGCTGGTTAAGTGTCTGACTCTTGATTTCAGCTCAAGTTGAGCCCTGCATCAGGCTCCACACTGGGCACATAGCCTGCTTGGGATTCTCTCTCTCCCTCTGCCCCGCCCCTGCTCACTTGCATGTATTCTCTCTTTCTCTCTCTCTTCTCTTAAAAAAAAAAACATATTATATATATATATATATATATATATATATATATATGAAAGTAGAAAATGATTAGTATGAGTTCCAGTAGTGGGCAGATGTGCTGATGGTGGAAAGTGAACAGCTGTACATGAGCAATGCTATTGCTTAAAATCAGAACACTAAACAACTCTCACTGTGGCAAACGACTCTTGGCTGAGTGGAATGGCAGATCTGGCATCAATCCTAAATTGACAGAGTCAGAGTTATACTTACTTTAGGCCTCTCACTCAGATCTCAAATGCAATCATGAATATGGAAAGTAACTGGAGACTTCAAAATGAGTAGCATTTATACTTTACTAAAGGAACTAACCATTCTGAATCCCTTGCCCACGCTTCTAGTGCCTGAGAGAAAGGTGGTCTTTGGTTGAACAAATGGAGGTCCCCAGCAGTGACACATCCCCGTGTTTCCCTTCACACCAGACAAATTCTCTGTTCCCCTTCAATGAGAAAACATTCCACAGTGTTGTCCTTCAACATCCCGTGATAATGAATGAACATGATGTGTGGGTAGATTATTAAGGTTCCCCAGACCATAAGATGGAAATTGAAAGAAGCCACCACAGCGTCTCAATGCACGAGATGGAGAAGCATCAACTAACGGGACACAACCGTGGTTTGAACCAAGACAAGTGAAAAATCTATACCAAAGAATTCCAAGGCAAAATGATTGTGAAATGAAGGATTTTCATTATTTAATTTGCTGTAGAAAAAGCCACAAGTGAGGCAACAAAGGACATCTTAATTTACTCCCCAACATGGTGGGTCCAGGAAGAACCTCTTTGCTGGACAGAACACACAATGCTTAGATGCAACCTTCCTTGTATTTCAGCACAGTATGAAATACATGGTAAGAAACGGACAGGAAGCCACACCAGCAAGAAGAACATTGCCAAACAATTATATCTTATTTAGGAAAATGTCTGGTGGACAGGGAAGAAAGAGGGAAGAGAAAAAATAAGGTTGGTGTTCGTGGATTTTTGAATCTAGGACAGGCCCAGTAGCCTACTTAGGGGATAGAGCAGAAATGAGGAAATGATCTATTCCCTTAACACATCTCATCCAACGTACTGAACCAAAGCTGTCATGTTTCTTGGTCCCATAAAAACACAGAAATGTAATTGTTTCGGAAAACCGTTTTGAGTTGCTAAAATGTTTCTATATTGGGATCTTTGTGGATGTTATAAAAGAAAAATCATGGTGTCAGAAAAGGATTTTTAAATGTTGAGCCAAAAAAAAAAAAATACTTACCACCCAGATGACATTTGATGTTTTAATTCTACTGATTTCTATCTGAAAAACCATTTTTAATTCCTGATGATGAGCAAGGTTGTGGACACTCCACTGTAAATGCAAACACTGATGTGTAGAATTGATAAAAACTCTCAGGGATTCAGGGGCCCATGGCAAAGGTTCAGACAAGACTGAAAGACCAAAAACAAGATATGAAATAACATTTAATAGGAACACAATTGAATAGTCACAGATAATAAACTGGTCAATATCACCACTGTTTAGTTTTGGAAAATAATGCTCACATGTGCGTCTTAGAATCAGACATCTTGCAAGTCTGCAAGGGAATTTAGAAATCACTTGGTAGATAAAGAAATTAAGGCCTAGGTAAATGAAATGACTTGCTCAACAATACACCGTGTGTTGTTATTAATAAAATGATAAACAGTAAAACAAAACAAAAGGATACTTTATTGGATGATCTAACTGGTTTAGAAATTTCTAGTAAGGCTATATAAAGAGGACTCTTGGCTATAAACTTTGTATTTCTGGAAATCGAAAATGAGTTTTCTGCATAGTTTACTAAATAACTATAACGTGGGAGCATACCCTATCTCTAGACGTGATTGCTTATATCTCAATGCACTAAACTTAAAAGACCTCTGGCGAGAATTTACTGAAGTCTGTGGATGAGACCAGCAAGGCACTTAGTGTGAAATAAAATAATTGTGATGATGTTCTTAGCTCAAGGAAGGACCCCAGCTGGAGAGATACAGGGGCTCAGAATAGGTAAATCCATAGAGGGATAAAGAAGATTGGTGATTGCTGGGGGCTGAGGAGGGGAACAATTGGGAAGAAGTGCTTCATGATTACAGGGTTTCCTTTTGGGGTGATAAAAATGTTTTGGAAGTACACAGAAGTGCTTGTTGCATATTTTGAATGTACCAAATACCAAATGTCATTGATTTGTTCATTTTAACCATAAGATGATTAATTTTATGTTATGTGAATTTCCCCTCAATTAAAAAAAATTTTTTACATATACGTGATCATGATCAAAATGTTCAAATGATACAGAAATTGAGAACCCATCATCCTACCAACTCATTCTCTCTCCCTTGCCAAGTTTAAATCATATGTTTTTCTCGACCTTTCCCATACACTTAAAAAAAAAAACACACTAGACTGTGCATTCCATTTTATATTTTTTAAAGTACTCAGGTTATTTTTAAGAAAGCTATAAAGGGAAGTAAAACTATAATGTTACTACTCATTATTTCTGGATGGCGAGGCTGAGTTTAATACTTTTTTTAATACTTTTTTATACTTTTATACTTTTCTGTATTTTGTAAATGTTCTTCAGAAACATGCGTTACTTTCAGAATCCTATGATATGGTAGAGTTTAGAAGAAATAATCTTTTAAGATACCTGATGCACTCCACTGTGATGATACTTCAAAATGCATAATTTAGTTTTCCCGGTCAATTTGCACCAAAAGGCTGAGCACCAGTTATTTTTCCAGTTTTATTTCCCACTGAAACTTAATCAATTGGCATTCTGAGTCCTGTTTTGTTTTTTTGTGTTTTTTTTTTTGGCATTCTGATTCTTAATGAGCTTTGGCAGAGTGAATCATTTATCAGACCCCATTCATACAAAGTTAAATGAAGTTGGAATTTCTGAACACTCAAAGCCCAAAACATGGTAGTCACTACCTATTATTATTTGGTGAGAGATTTTTCTTCTCCCTTGTGAATAAAATTTCTCAACTCTTTGGTTAAAGACAATAGCCATTATTCAGCCTCTCCTTAAACCAGTCAGGAGGTTTGGGTGAGTCTTCCAAGCCTAAGATGTAAGTTAACTAAAGGAGGTTTAGGGAAATGTAAAGTTAACTAAAAGGAGGTTTAGGGAAATGAAAGAGCAGATCCTTTATGGAATAAGAGGAAATATTTTTAATAACTAATAATAACCAATAGCACAGAGAAGGCCAAGTGCCTGCAAAATCATCCTGGCTCTCCTGGCCCTTATTCCATTTTGTCTGGACAGTAATTTGTTGCTGTCGGTCTCACACTCTAGATGAAGAACTTCCTGGAGGGCAGAGGCTGAGGCAGAGACATCTTTGAAAGGACTCTTGTCCCCAGCACTTGGCACCACCACTTCCCCACAGCAGATGTTGACCTCAAATTACACGGACCCAGGATCTCCACAAGTTCTCAAGAGCACGACAAGCAATAGCTCACTTAACATCTCTCCTCATGCTCGGCATTCCCTTCTCTCCAGGGCTGCTTTTCTAAGCTCCGTTTGAGCACTGATCACAGCGTGTTGTAAGAGCCTGGTTTGGGTTTGTCTCCCGGAGGACTGTGAGCTAAACAAGGGTGGGACTAACTCAGCTCGGTGAAACCAAGTCAAATAACACACCTGTCACAGTGTAGACACCCAGTGACTGCTTGCTAAATGAATGAGTCAACTACCAGAATCGACTTTATTTCTGGAAGCTTGGGAAAGCTACCGTGTGATGCTTTAGGTAAAAGAGGAACTCTGTATTGACATATGCTATCAGTGAGTGTTGAGTGACTCAGGTAGTTGGGAGAGACATCACTCGGAAATAACTTGGTCAAAAGCAAAGGACTTCCTTTGAGGACTTCCTTGGGAAATAGTGAGAAAAGTCAAGGTAAAGTCAGAGAGATTAAGGGACCTCACAGATTCTTAAGTCCAACCCCATTAGTTTTCAGATGAGGAAATGGAGTTTAAAAAAAAGGGAAGTGACTTCCCCAAGTGCACACAACTAGACCAGAACCCTGGGTTCTTGGCCCCGGCCAGCTCTCTTTTTATAGTGAGGAGCGGGTGGTCAGACAGCCCAGGGTTTAATCACAGACTGTCCTCCCACTTTCTTCACCCAGGCTCTCTGTCTGGCCCCAACACTACTTAAAAAACTAAACTGCAGTTCATTTGTAAGTTGGGACATCACACAGCCATTAAATAGAATGTTATTTCTAAAAGGACATTTGAGATCAAAGGTAAAAACCTTCCTCATATGTTGTATTGTTTTAAAAAGTATATATTAAAGTATACATACTAAAATATACATACTTCACCTGCATATAGTTTTATCTTTACGTATTATAGTATAATTTCCCAGTATATATATTTACACTATATACAACATACATACTTTAAACTATATATAGTTTAATAGGTATATACACAGCATAAATATTCCCAGTATATATAGTATACTTTCACTTCTATAAAAAAAATCTGCCTATTTACATCTCTGTCTTGGTCTGTATGTACTTACACAAGAGAACGGAAGAAAACACAACCAAATGCTATAGTCACGATCTCTGACTAAAGCAAATATGAGCCCAGCGCTAACTGAAAGTGAGTCTGGGCTCTGTCTCATTGGTCGGGAGAAGCCAGGACATCTGAATCTGAGTCTCAGCCCTGAGCCTGGCTGGATCATCAGGTGGGAGGCCCACTCTTTTGAGTGGAGGTTTAGCAGGTATTTGGCAGATACAGCAAACACCGAGACAAGAGATCCAAGTGGTGTGAGGACAAAGACAGGATTACTTGGCAAAGTAGGCATGCTTAGCTGAGAAAACTGGAAGCAGAAACAATGACTGGTGGAGAGAGAAGCAGGCAATGAATGATCTAAATAAAAGAAGCTGAATGGGTACATTCTTCACTGGAACTTCTAAGAACAGAGTGTCCTGTACGTAGAAGGTACACAGTCAGTCAGTCGTCATTGCGTCAGATAATGACACTTTACTAGGGAAGTGAGCTGTGCTAAAAGCTTGGAAGTAATGCCTAGGATTTTCTGGAGAGCCTGGAGCTGGGGGCATGGGTCTGTCTGAGAATCAGGGGCTCTATCTGGACCTAACTTTCCTATGGTACGGGCCACCCCCTCAGCCCAGCTGGGTCACATTTAGCAAGTAAGATAGATAGGGTGGGGGGTATACATGCTATAAATGAGAAGTCCTACTTCCCATCTTTCAGCTCCAGATTATGGAAGGTAATCAACAAACTACAAATTTTAAGAAGCCAAAAAAGTAGCATCGTCTCATGTGCCCTGAACCTAAAAGAAACAGATCTAGACTTAAAGAACACCGGGCAGAGAACTGAGCTATTAACAGAACAAAATCTCCTTTTTATTTCCAAATATCTTTTCACAGAGTTTTAAGGGAAGCAGAAAAATTCTATGGGTGTTTCTTGCAAACATCACTTTCATGAATCCATGGAAAGGAATTATGAGAAGAATTATGAGAGCATATGCCCACACTCTCTGTTACAAAGGAAGTACAGCAAAGAATCAACTCAGAATGAGGAAAATGTAAGGCTTTGTTAAACACAGGTGAAAGCAACACAAACTTTATAAACCAATAGACTCAAGCCTGAGTACCTTCAAACTGGTTCAAAGTAATACACAATGTCATTATAAACATTTTACAAGTGTTCTTATTGACACTATTTACAAAGTTGACTTACGGAAAAATACCCTCACTGGGAGAGTAGCTAAGTGACAAATACTATTTCTTTTTTCCATAAACAGCATTTCAGTACCTAGCATATTGTCTTAGAGCAAACAGCTTCTCAATGAATGTCGTTGAAGGACATCACAACTTGTTCAAACCTAGTGGCCAACTCTGGTCTGGTATACCTCAACCCTACACGGCAAGGTGCAGACCGAGCTCCTCTGGAGATGGCCACTCACAATATATCTACCACGAAGTTCTGCGGGATTAGATCCACTCACCAGTGCCCTGATGACCAGGGCACTGGCCAGGAAATGAGAGTTAAGGTGTGGCTTTATTACAATGAGCTATCAAGAAGTCAAAATTAGGGAAGCCATTGCTACTCACCAATTCCAAGTAATTTCCAAAGAAAAGACTTGTGCAACTTTCCTCCAAAGCACCAATTACCTTGTTTTTTTTTCCTCTGTGTGATTTTTTTCTTTACTGTTCTTCCCACTACTCACCTTCACTCTGGTATGTTCTCAAGGACAGCAATGCCAAGAGGAATGTTGTCTGAAAGACTGAAAAGAGAGCCATAGGTTCTGGATTTCTGAAAAAGATAAATTACACAGAAGGAACATTTCATTTAATTTCAGCTCTGAGCAGGTGTCTTTGACCCCATTGTGGTAGACAATGGTATTAAGGGCTCCCATTCTTCTCTCCTTCTTCCATTCATGCCTTTTGTCGTGTGAGTTTGGAGTCCCCCCCTGCCTCCCAAAGTAAGAGTATATTTCCCTGTTCCAGGTGACTTGCTGAGGCAGAAGCCATGGTATACCCACTTGGAGCCTAGGCATCAAAAGACCTTGTATAATTCTGCTTGCTCTTTTGTGTTTCCACCTTTGACATGAAAAGAGCATTTCTGGGCTACCCTCCAGGAGGAAAAGGAGCAACAGGGGAGGCAGCACTGAGTCACCATGGCTGCCCCCCCGGGGCCAGCCTAGGTCAGCCAGCAGCCGGCCAAGAGCGCCTGATACCAGATGTCGGAGCCATGAATGCCCACCGCTGCCTGCCACAGAGGCTGTGTGGCAATAGAGAAGTGGCCTACCAATTTCTTCAAACCAAGCAAAGGCTGGTAAAGAAAGATAAAGAAACAGAAGTGAAACATAAAAAAGTGGACCATGGTCTCAGAAGAGCTAAATCTGAGTGAATTACTTATAGAGGAGTCACCCTCACTCTGTCCTGTCTCCCTCATTAAAATTTCACTGAGGAAAACCCAGCACATTCCACCTAAAGAGATAGGCAGTGTTTCATTATTCAAGATAATTTCCGGTTTTCCTCACTTTAGAGGAGGGTTGTAAAAGGCAGGTCAAAGAGCTTCACTGATTCATCGGGTTTTTCAACCACAGGACAATCTGAGGGCGCAAAGAGTGAACCTAGATGACCTCAAGGAGGCTAATTCGTTCTTAATTTAATACTAAGTTTGTTAGTCAAGGGAAGCCCTGAGTTTCACTTTTCTACTTCAAAGTCTGACTCACCCCATTGACAGGCAATGAAACCATTCAGAGTCCATTTTGCCTCTGTCTGGCCACCCGGACTTCATCAAAAGCCAGAAATACAGTGAACCAGATCATCCCTTTTCACTGCCCACCACTAACTGGGAACAACAGTGAAGACAGAAAAAGAATATAACCAGCCATTAAATTATTCTGCGGGAGTCAAATCTGCTTACACACGGGCCCAATTGCCAGCAGAAACAAAAGTCTGCAAACAACAGCTTTTACTCACAGCCCTTTAAGCCTGTTTTCCACTACTTCCATTTTTGCCAAACATGGCCCTTCATACCTCTCTAAAATCTCTACTTACAACTTCAGATAGGCTCCTATTACAACGAAGTATCGAAGCCAGGGAGAAAATGAATTCGAGAGAAAATCGTTTCTGCTCAGAACCAAAGGCAAGGCAAAGGAAAATGCCAACATGAAGGGGGTGACTCTCCGCGTGCAACTGACCCTTCCTTCCAATCCTAGTCGGTGGGTACAGGATCCTATCCTAACACCGAGTTATCTTGAGGAGCGCAAGGTGCCTCTCTGTAAGGAAATCTCATCCTGTAAGTTGAAAAGCAGATGACTTGGGGAGTGATGTAGGGGGCCCCGTGTTCTCTGTAGGAAAGGGCTACTTAAAATGTTTTTCAAATTTTGGAGTTTAAGTAAATCAAGTATCTCACATGTTGCAAACTTTAAACAAATGTATAGGAACAGAGAAACTTAAAACTACAAGTTAGAAGCCACCTATGAATTAAGGGTAACCAGAAATTAAAGAGTAAAAGTTGTCACTTAACAAAATCGAAAAATAGAGGAGTCTTTACACAGGATTTGTTTCTATGGTCTGGGGATCACAGGAGAGTCCCCGAGAAGCATCGGGACAGTCTTGTCCGGAAGTCCCGACCTTCCCCACCTCCTCCCACTCAGCAGGTTGTGAATCTGAGGAGGTTAGCTTCAGAATGAGAGTCAGCAGCTGGAAGAACCTTCCGGAGACACGCGTGTCAGCCTTTGGGAAACGCTGCATGAACAGTTCTCCTGATGCCTCCGAGCCTGATGCTTTGGGAAGAACACAGCCACCAAGGGCTCTGAGCCAGCTGCTTCCAAGGCCCAGGAGACTGACCGCAAGGCCCGTGTGGACCCCCTCCTCCCCTCCCCTGTAAATGGGCCTCTAATTGCCCTGCGCCCTATTCCGAGGGTACCAGCTCTTTGCTGGTGAGCTCCTCACTAGCACAGTGAAGGACCTGGGGATGAGGGAGTGAGTTGTGCCAAGGCCCTGAGGCGAGGCGGGAGAGTGCGGGGCTTATTCAAGGAACAACAGGAACCCGTGTTGCAGGGGGGGCAAGGAGGTGATGGCCCTGGAAGTGGGAATGGTGGTGGAATTCAGGAGAGATCTGACAGAGCAGGCCAGGACGTGACAGGGGGTGACAGACGAAGCCATCACGGACGGCCCCCAAGATGGCCTGAGCCCTTGGTAGAACGGAAATTACCCTTCATAGGGAAGTAGAAGAACAGACGTTGTGGGCTCTAGCGGGGGCTAGACTGTAGCAAGCTCAATATGAGATGCTGATTTGATGTCCAAGGGAGCTACCTAGCCGGACACACACTTGGGAGTCCCTGGGAGGGGTCCTGGCAGGGGTATAAATCATCCTGGCTGCATACACACAGCCTTTAAACCACAGGGGACATGGGGCACCTGGGGGGCTCAGTTAGTTAAGCGTCTGCCTTCGGCTCAGGTCATGATCCCAGAGTCCCGGGATCGAGGCCCGCATTGGGCTCCCTGCTCAGCGGGGAGTCGGCTTCTCCCTCTGACTCTCTCTCTCTCATTCTCTCTCTCTCAAATAAATAAATAAAATCTTAGAAAAAAATAAATAAGCCACGGGGACCGGATGATGGCCTGGAGAGGCAGCGCAGATTGCTGTGCGGGGTCCGCGCCTGAGACCGCAACCCACTCTGCAAATCCATGACATTCGGGACTAGGCTAGACTTTCCTATAGCACCTGGAGGACAAGAGCCGAGTGCCGGAGGCGCTGTGAGCGCCTTCGGCCCGGTCTCCCAGGGAACCTAGGGGCTCCAAACTGGGGCCGCTCTTCCTCCACAGCTCGGCCACAGCGCCCTCTCCCTCTCTCGTCAGGCTCTCTCTCCACAGCTGTCCGTGAGGAGCATCGCCACTTCCCTCGGTCCAGTAGGAAAAGGAAGGCAGGGGAGGATGGAGTGGCAGGATTCAGAAAGGCAAAACCACCTTCCCGCCTCGCCCACACTTCCCAGTCCTAAGCCCAACTCGGTTCTTTATTTCTATTTTTCAGATCTCCATCATTCCCAACCAGACGATGAGCTGCTTGAGGACAGGCCTGGATCTCAGTCCCCACTGTCCATCACCATCCCAGCACATAGTTGCTACCCAGTTAAGTATCTCGTAAATGAACAAAAATTTGTACCAAATTTTCTCACATCCTTTCTTCTTTGCTTTCAACTTTATTTTATTAAACAGATTCCTTTTCAGGCCCTTCCACTTTTTCTGTTGCCAAATATTGCCTAATTCATAGTGTTTCATTGACATGTCTTCTCTGGGGAGAAACTTCCCATTCAAATGTTGTCTCTGTGCAAAACAAAGACACTTTCGAACGTCCCTCGGTGCAAATACCACATGCACGACAAAAGACAACCTTTGCCACGGAGATAAGCCTGCCCTTCTTCACTAGCACTTTGTGTTCGGTCATTCCTAAAATATTTATTCCTGGGAAGTTTCCTCACCATAAATAACCCCCTTGAGAAGCAACATGACCAGTCATTTGCTTCCCAAGAACATGGGTGTGTTGCCAAACGTTGCAGAATTGGCTAAGTGCCTCATGACATCATATGCAAATACTAGTTTAAAGAAAGAAGCTGTTCATCCGGGGTCGTGTGCTGGGAGTGTGTGCTCCCTGTGTGAGAGTTCTGTGCAGCAGTACAAAGGGCTGCATGTTCCCCACACTTCCCAGATCCATCTATCTTTATTTGTTTTTTATGAGCACTGCTATTTGTCTTTGGGGGCCCCTTCCAAAGGGCCCTTGCCATTATAGCACGAGATGGACCACCTGTAAGGCTTCACTCCAATCCACCACCCCCTTCCTCCTAAAGGAAGGTTCAAGCACACCTTCCCCTCTGCCTAAAACTACCCGGGTAAGTGCTTCTACCAGTTTTGTAAGGTCATCCCTTATTTCTGGGGCTGAATTGGCTTATGCACAGCTCATTTTCTTTTTCTTAAGCAGTATTCAGTTAAAGATTCCTGGACCTTGTGACTCCAGCTAGCATTTAAGCTGAGTCTCTCAGTGGTCAGGGAAACTAAAGAAAGGAAGAGAAAACCTTGATCTGAGGAATATTCTGGACCCAAAGAATACATAGGAATTTAGTATATGCTAACAATAATATGGGGCGCCTGGGTGGCTCAGTCGTTAGGCATCTGCCTCCGACTTAGGTCATGATCCCAGAGTCCTGGGATCGAGCCCCGCATCAGGCTCCCTGTTCCATGGGAAGCCTGCTTCTCCTTTTTCCACTCCCCTTGCTTGTGTTCCCTCTCTCGCTGTCTCTCTCTGTCAAATAAATAAATAAAATCTTAAAAAAAATAATATTTTGAATCACTGGAGAAGAGACAGATTATTCCCTGGAACAATAACCTGGACATTTGTGGGAAAAGGAAGTCGTAATAGTCAAGCACCCGGGCTCTGATGTTAAGACTGCTGAGGGTCCAATCACTACTCTGGCACTTAATAATCTTATCAACATGGACAGGGCACTTTACCCACCTAGGCTTCAGTTTCTTTTCCTGTAAAATGAGAATAGAGAACCTACCTCATAGGACTGGCATGAGGATTAAATGAGATTACGAGAACCCTATACATAGAAAATCCAATTATTGTTAATTTTTATCATTATTGCTATTGCCTCACTCCCCTCAACAAAATAAATTCCAGATGAACAAAGGTATAAATGCAAGTAAAAGGATCATTAAAATTACTAGAATATTTGTATAATCTGTTTTAGCATGATATGAAACCTAGAAGCAATAAAGATCGTACAACGATTAAATGAACAT